AAGATGTAGAAGCAAACTTTTAGCCGCCACATTGATTCGTCATATTCATTACTTTCTTGCTCTATAATGGGCACTAACATAAAAATTTAAATACTATAATATAACTAGTCACTATGATTATTTGTATAACTACGCTATTCCTGAATTATTACTTGTCACTTTCGTTGTGCTGAACTCCGCAAGTCCTCTTTATGCCCAATATTTGCTGGTCTTGGTAAATCTAGCTGTTTCCGACATTTTGCTTTCTTGTATTTTTTTTAACGAAAGACGGGGAAAAATTAAATTAATTGATATGGTAAGTGAAATTTAAACGACTGTTTATAACGCGGTGTTTTTATTTCCTAAGCAGCATTTATACCTAGCAGCTCTCAAGCATGCTTTTCATTCCAAGAAGGATTATCTGTTTTATGATTAATAAGTTGTCGCAACTATTTGAAAATAGAAAATGAGCCAAAAAATTTTATTCCATGGTTCCATTTGTGAAAGCTGTCCTTCAGGAAATTTTGAAAACAGGGAAGAGAAGAATGATACGAAATTTGTTGAGCTCAAAATAAGAAGAGGCGTACTTGGTAAGAAAGAGAAGTGTGCTGAAAACCATCTGGCAAGCCTTCGATGAAAAAAAGCAAAAGAATTGATCTTGAGCTAGATGAAAAGAGATGTGCAAGAATTAAACGGTGCGAGTGCTCGAATTAGTAACCAGGAGGGGTACGAGGTACCGGACAATGATCACATGATCCTTTGCTACCGTCCTTGCCAGGAGCACCCGGAGCACCGTTTTCACCATCTTTTCCATTTGCTCCGTCGGGGCCATTGTCGCCTTGGGGTCCAGCCGCGCCAGGATGTCCATCACGTCCGGGAGGACCTTCTGGTCCGGGAGGGCCAGGAGGTCCCATCTCTCCTTGTTCACCAGGAGGTCCGATTGGGGATGGTAGTGTTCGAATATTTCCCGCAATTCCAGGTGGTCCTCGCTCACCAGGTTCTCCATCTTTTCCAGGTGGTCCTGCAGGACCTGGATTTCCACGAGGTCCCTGAGAACCCGGCGGACCAATCTGTAAATAGGCTTTGCTGAATAACAATTAGGCAACTTTAAGTCTATTGTTAGTACCTCTCCAGGTGGTCCAGGTGGACCCATGGGACCCATAGGACCAGCCATGCCAGGTGGGCCCGGAGGTGATGGCTGACATTCATAGCAGAAATCGCTGGGCTTAGGTACGGCTAGATGGTCAGGAGCATCCATTCCCGGAGAGCCAGGCCTACCAGGACGCCCATCCATACCTGGTTCACCATCCGGGCCAGGGGGTCCTGCTGGTCCTGCTGGACCAATTCCACATGAACAGCATGGTTCTTGACGCTTTGCTCTGTTTTGATGGTGGCTTTCAGTCTACAAAA